ACCAAAGCAGCGATGCTGCTTTGAGCTGAGATTCGACATGGGAGCTTCTCAAAGGCCGTCACCAAAACCCCTTTAGAAGGTCTAAAGACCTGCCCAAAGTACCAGACTTATCACCTCTTTGAGACGCTCCAAGATCTACCATGACTAAAAGTCTTGGGAACCCTGGTCAGTGTGAAACTTGCGCGTTGCGGGGTTCATGTGTTCTGGGAATTCCTAATAAGCATCCCCTCGTGGCGCCTATATACTCGCAGTGTACTCTATCCCAAACCCCTGTTGGCAAGAATTGAGGCCCCTGTATAATGTGCACGGCTTGGCATTGTTGCGTTCTTGAACTTCTGGTTTTAGGGGTTTATCGTAAAACGGGGTTTATCTCGGGTTCTGACCACAACCCCCTACAAAATCACACGGGCCACAGTACATGGAACAAACCCTAAATCCAAAACCCTTATAAGCCCTAAACCTTAAACCCTTATAAGCCCTAAACCTTAAACCCTTTTGAGCCCTAAACCCTAAACCCTTATAAACCCTAATCCCTAAACCCTCAGAAGCCCTGAACCTTAAACCCCTATAAGCCCTAAACCTTAAACCCTTGTAAGCCCTAAACCCTAAACCCTTACAAGCCCTAAACCTTAAACCCTTATAAGCCCTAAACCTTAAACCCTTATAAGACCTAAACCCTAAACCCTTATAAGCCCTAAACACTAAACCCTTATAAGCCCTAAGCCTTCAACCCTTATAAGCCGTAAACCCTAAACCCTTTTCAGCCCTATACCTTAAACCCTTATAAGCCCTAAGCCTTAAACCCTTATAAGCCCTAAACCCTAAACCCTTATAAGCCCTAAACCCTAAACCCTTATAAGCCCTAAACCTTAAACCCTTATAAGCCCTCAACCCTAAACCCTTATAAGCCCTAAACCCTGATCTTCAGGTGGATTCCTCTGGGGGTTTTGGCTGCTGCCAGACCCAGACACTTGGCCATGAACACATAGCAGGTCGAAGGGGTAGCGCTGTTTGGGGATGTTAGGGTTTAGGGTTTAGGGGTTTAGGGGTTTGGGGTTTGGGGTTTAGGGTTTAGGGGTTTTGGGGGTTTAGGGGTTTGGGGTTTGCGGTTGAGGGCCTATGGTTTATCAGCATTGCTACTGCTACTGGTGTTGTCAGGTAGTCGGCTTCTAAATTACTGTGGTCGAGTGTCGGCAGGGTTCTATTCGTCTCTTTATGACGGTGATGGTCAACCTATGGCCATTATTTTCGTCAGTATTTGTTCACCTATTATTTTCGTCAGTATGTTCATCATCAATTGTGCTCGTCAGTATTTTCATCAATATGGGCTTCATGTTGTCGAACGCCAAGTTGTTGGTTTTAGTTGTGGGGGGGAGACAGTCAAGTCTGCAGGGTGTGGGGTTGGGTGTTCGTGTGCGGATGCATATGGACATACATTTTCCTAAACCCTAAACCCTATAAACCCTAAACCAAAAATTGCCCTAATTTAGTTGCATCTTGCATATCAGGCTGGCTGGCTTTGTCACGGTTGATGAAGTCATGCGGTCATGCGAATTGAGGGCTGTACCCGGCACCTGATGTGTATCGGTCTTTTGTCCCGTTGGCGCTTTTGAAGTGTGCGGGGTAGAAGGGTTTACATGACTCAACATGGTTTCTTGTTACGGTAGTCGGAGGGCTTTATCAAGGTTCTATGTGGGGTCGCGGGAGTCGGGTTTGAGGATTGAGCGTCTCATGGTTCAGCCAGCTAGGGCCGCTACTGTTTGGATTTGGTAGCTAAGCCGAAAGTGCTTGAAGATTCACTCAGGGTGAGTCTCAGTCCTCATCCTGGTAACGTCTAGAATCTTTCCTCTCCGTATTAATCCACAAAACCAACCCAGACTCCCAAATTCTGTCCACCGTAGAGAACGCGCACTTCTCTCATTGAACCTGTGCAAGCTTTGGCGTGCCCTTAGTATTCGTTTCTACGGTCTGCAAGATAAGCCCTGTAGGGTTGGAAAGCGGTCTGTGAGCCAAGTGTCTTCGAACCTCCGAGATGGGAACCAGCCACGGGAAAAATCCCAGATGAAGGACGCGATCTAAGAGAACAGAAGAGACCCCAAAGCTCATCCCGGAGCTCGAAATACCCATTTCAGGAAGGGCCTTGCTGCGAGGGAGGCGGTGGCTGTGTCAAGGGTTTGGGTTTGTCAGGCTTGCTGGTAAACCCGCCAAAGATCTAAAAGCTCAACCCCCCATCCCCAAGCCCGAAACCCCAATGCTTTGTTTGAGACGGCACGAAGAACCTAGGGTGCAGGCGCATAGGTTTACTTCATACCAGAACCCGGTAATTTCCCTGAACCCCCAAGCCCGAACCTCCGGGTCCCTGCAACTTTGCATCTCTGGATTCTCAGGGTTTGAGCCGTTCTTGGGTTTTGTTTGGGTCGATTCGCTTCGTGGACCTGAGTACTCCGATGATTCATTCGTGCCCCCTAGCCCTGCTATGTCCCAGAGAGAAAACATAACCTTTATGAACTGGGGTTGAACTCGAAACCCCCTAGCTCTATGAAGCTGCCTGGTCCCAAACATCCTAGAACTTTCTAAACCCCCAAGGACCTAACAACTCAACCCCCCCCCCCCTAAGCCCGAAACCCCAATGCCTTGCCTGAGACGGCACGAAGAACCGACGCACGCACTTCTCAGCCCCGTCAAGCGCCACCTTTCAGGAGTTAGTTTAGGGTTCAGGGTTTAGGGTTTAGGGTTGTGAGTTTCTCTTGGGAAGGCTCTGCCCTCAGGTGTGCTCCGGCCGGCATACAGCTCGAGTCCGTGCTCAAAAGGGTTGTGAGAAACGGTGGCCTGTAGGTGTTGCATGGCTTTTTTCTAGCCTTCTAACAATGAGCGATGGAGCCAGGTTCTAGAACCGAGGCCGAAATCCTATGTCCTGCACTCCAAGATATAACACGTCCACACACTCGTCGCAAACTCACTTAAACCAAAACTTCCCAAACCCTGGGCCCTGTCACCTCAAAAGGGGCCCGAAGCAGAAACGAGCGGAAAGCAGTGGCAGGTTTTGGGTCTCAAAAGGTTTTGGAGTTTGAAGTGTCTACCCTGAACCTTAAACCCTACGGTCTAGGATTTTTGCATTTCGGGTACGTTGGGCCAGGCGCGGGGCGCTCCATCCAGGGTGCGATGGCCGCAATCTCCGCCGGATCCAGGAGGTAGGGCTTAGGGTTTATACCCAGAGGCCCCTAAGTAGTTCCTTTTTATGGTTTATATTAAGGTAATCCCAAAAAGGAACTACTTAGGGGCCTATGGGTAGTTTAAGGTGGGGAGTCGGTTCGGAGCACATCAGGGTCCAACTCGGCGGGTCAGAGGACGGGTGGGCTCCGATTTGGGGAATTTCATATCTCGGGGCCGGCCGATGTCCTGGTGCTTCACGATGTTGCTCGCTCCGGATTTGAGTTTGGCTGCAGAGTTTTCGAGGATGTGTGGCTAGGTTATGCGCGGTGTCTTTGATATCCGATGTCACACTGGTAGATCGATATGTACGGTTATGTATGTACATATACATATACATATACATATACATATACATATACATATACACACATATATATGTATGTATGTATGTATGTATGTATGTATGTATGTATGTATGTATGTGTTCATACATACACACACATATATTTCTCTCTGTGTGTGCGTCTTACCCGAATAGCCTTGCTTGGAGTTCCGAGTTCCGAGAGTTTAAATCATATTATCATATCCTCTTTTTAATTTAACATAAGGCACCAATTCCCTAAACCCAAGCCCGTTAGTCTGATTGGTGAGGGGCATCTAAACCCTTGCCCTGCCTGTGCTCGCCCGCACGAGGCCGCCCTTACGGGAGGTCCTGAGGCCGTCTTACACGGAACCTTGCCAAGATTGGTTGGATGATGCTGCATGTCGACTAGTACTAGTACTA